TTTTAGATTGCAAGTTGTTATACTGTCAACACAGATGTCAGCATTAAAGACAATGGAGAATCAAAATGTACATTTATCTCAATCTGAAGCCACATCAGCATCTTATTTTGACACTTATTTTATACAATGACTTGAACTCGAGTAATTAATGAGTATGGAAAGATAATATTTAGGGCTCCACACACTGCGTTTAGATTAAAAGTGAACACAATTCTATTGCTATCATCAAAAATACAGTGAATCAATAGTGCGACAAAGTGCTTAAAATGCATTAGCCCCGAAACTCTTCTAAGTTGTTATTCAAAGTGAGTCAGAGTCATTCAAATTAAAATGTATGTTAAAATCTAACATCAAAAACGTCACCTTTTAGAAATGTAGTGTGCCTAGTAATACTCCAGGGGGTGCTATAAGGATATGTATTTTATCATAGCACAGCTTCAAGAGACACTTTAAAATAAAAAATACACTCACAAAAAATATACTCACCGTTTGTTTTGGTCAGTTTTCTTTGTTGTCTGATCCTTTTGCTCATTCAACTAATTCAAATCTATTTTCCTGCTGCTCAAAATAAACAGACTCTGTATCAAAGCTGGTGCTAAAATAAGAAAAGCACATAAAAGTCTGCAGCCATACCCTGTTTGAGACAATACAACAAAGAGAACAACAACAGAACCTTGGTGCGAGGCTGAGGAAGCTCCAGCTGTGCTGATTGTGTAACATTCCCATTCAACATTTTCTCAAACTCTTATCGGTTTCCAACTTGTCTCCAGAATATGTTGATTTGACAGCTGGAGGACTAAACAACAATCATTTTATTTGATCTAATTTACCTACTCATTCAGAAGGGCTCTGAAATTGTGAAAATATGAAGAAGATTAGCGCAGCAGTGTTTTATGTAATATAATAAAAGCCTTCTTAAGGCTTGGAGAAAGCAGTTTCCATCCAGCAGGCTGCAGCTCAAAGGTCAGTGTTCATCAGTCCTGCTGCTGCTTTCCTCTCTGGTAATTGCCTGTTAAATTGAAGGGAAAATGTGTAAGACACACAAATGAGGTAAATATTTAATCTGAGATCACCTGTTGGTTTGGTATTACACCGAGGGAAAACTAACAAGCTCAGAGGCAGAAGACAAGCAGGCTGCACAGATAACACACATGCATTTAGGTTAGGTATTACTATGCTTTAATACAGAGAAGCACATATAGTATTTACAGCGTAGAGCTCACACTGTTAGCTTCAGTGTTTAAATGACGATGACAGAGTGTGGTGTTCAAAATAGCAGAGGATGGTTTCGATCCATCGACCTCTGGGTTATGGGCCCAGCACGCTTCCGCTGCGCCACTCTGCTGTGCTCCTCTGCTGACTGCTGTAGTACTCCATTGGTAAACCGAGCTGCTTTGCATTCCTCTCACGGAAAGCAGCACTCTTACGTAACCATTGTTTCCTGCTGACAGAAAGAGGTGGTGGTGGTTCAAGAGAGTGGGGCTCAGGAGAGGGAAGAAGTTTTAGAGTGAAAAGGGGAGAAAAGTGCAGTAACAGTAGAGGAGCAGAGTGCTGAAATGTAAAGAAAAAGAGTCTAAGAATTACTTGTCGATTGTACTTGGCGATGTGGTAATCATTGATATCTATCACATCCTGTTGCAAAAAAGGAATGACACAAACGTTTTTGATGCGTTTGAAAAATCACTTAGCATCTGTATGGTCATGTATTTACTCTTTTCTATTCTTTTAATAGATGCATTTCATAGTTTTATGCAGATTTCACTGCTGTGATGCACCAATTAGTGTTTGCTTTGTCCATTTTTGCCCTCCATTGTAGCTACAGAGGTCAGGCTTTTCACACGGAACAGGCTCTTCTTTGTCTGTGAGTGAAACCGAGGCCTCGTATTCTCATCAGCGCAGAAAGATGGCAATGTAGGAAGAATAATGGAGCAGGAGGGAACATTTTACAGACCGAATGTTAAAGAGAATAGACGCAGAAAAGGTTTGTAAAAGCACAATCAGCACGGCGTTTAATCACTTCAGATATTACTGCTGTGGGTTAATTTGTAACCACAGAATACGAGTGATATCAGCGGTACAGAACATAAAGCATTAACATTTCATAATATGACTCAAAGTCCACGTAGACTTACTGTAACTGAATCCACGTGTTTGTGTGAACTCATGAAGTGTTTCTTTCCTGAGTTTCTTTGTGAATCAATCTCCTTACATTAGCCCAGTTGTTTGTGGATGCTTCCTATTCCCAATACTTCTACACTGTGCTGTAAAAAGTGAAAGTATTTAACTGTAATTTACTGTTATTTTTACAGATTTCAGTGCTTTGTTATATTACAGATAATAACAAGAGAAAGGCATCAGTTTGCATGTTAACAGGTTAAAAGGTCAAAAATATTTTCACATTGAAGGTTTGTTTTTTATGAATGATAATTAAGTTTTTGCAATTTTTGACCATAAAATGACAGTATTTGTATTATATTTAAATTAGAAAAAAAATACTGTTATTTGACAGATTTTTACCATTATTTGAAAAAAGAAAATGTGTTTATTAAAGATAGGAAAATAGTAAATAATTTATGAAAGTGCTATTTTACAGATTATCTTTCTTTTTCACACATAAAATCTAGTAAATCCCAGGGGGGAAAAAACATCATCTTTCTGACTGTTAAACCGGATGAATAAATGAATAAATTTATTAATAAAATCAGGCCAAACCTGCACATGATGTCCACATTAAAAGTCTGTGCTTTAACAAGTAGTATCTATTGTTTTAAACTTAACTTAGCTTAACTTAACTTGACTTAACTTAACTTAACTTAACTTAACTTAACTTAACTTAACTTAACTTAACTTAACTTGACTTGACTTGACTTGACTTGACTTAACTTTATTGTCCCTTGAGGGAAATTTGCTCTGCAGGCAGGCAAGAAGCACAAAAACACAGAAAACACAATCACAGTCGATCACATCAAAACACCGAAAACCACCAAAGCTGTGGCTGTAGAGTTTCACAGCTTCAAATCAGCTAAACATACAAGTATTTCACAGATGTTTGCTGTTGTTTTTGAATGTTATAGTATTTCACCGTTTGTTTTTTTGGCGTATTTTCTTCTGGCCCCTTCTGGACCTTTATTTTTCTTTTACATTGTGTGTCCAGGACAGAAAACAGGTCAGAAACTTAACAAATCAATCTGTTAACATGTAAACATTTAGCTTTTTTAGATGAAATGTTTCCCAGAACTTCCCTCAGTCAGCCTGAACTGTAAATGTGGGTGAACGCTGCAGTGATCCTGAAACAATGAGATGAAAGCAGCCTGAGCCAGACTGGTCTGAACTGGTCCAGGTCTGCTGGGGTCTTTTCAAGCTCCTGCTGTCTTGCAAAATAAACTCTCTCACAGGGATCAGACCAGGATTTCAAGTATAGTGAAGCTGCATGTGTGTGTTTGGACATCCCGCCCTGCAGCTCTGACTCACTGATTTAAGCTTTTAAAATCTGCCCGTTAAGCGCAAAGTAAAGTTGAGTCATTTTGTTCTCCTTGGAATTACTTGGCCTGATCACACAACACTTTTTGCTGCTGCTGCAGTTTAATTCCCAAACTGTAACCTTGAACCACAATGTCACGTACAGTAAACTTGTTGACTTCCCCCCTCAGAGAAAGCAGACCAATTTAAGCTCCCCTCATTTCCTCTCTTTATTTTCTTTTCAGAGTATGAATGCAGGCGTATAGATACCATCCCCTACTTTGCTGCCAGAGGCATAAACAAAGCTCCACAATAGGACAAGTCTATAGGGGTGAATTATTTCATCGTCATCCTCCTCTGTGGACTTGTTGTCTCCACTGTTGGTGACCGCTAACTTGTAAAACTTGAGTGTCACAGAGTTAAAATGTTCTGGCTGTAAGTTATGAAACAGACTGGGAAAAACACACTGTAGCTCAGTGTCGTGTCTCCATTAATACCGGCGGCTGAGTTTCGTTCCAAATTTCATTTCCAGAGTTCACTTCCCCCCTCAGCTCATAAACATGTTTACATCCCAGCCCCCTTCCTCGCTCGCTGTCTGCCCTTTCCCCTCGTTCCTGCTGCTCCTCCCTCCTCCTTCCTCTTGTTTCCTGGTCTCACCACTCCTTTCACTCTCGTTCCCTGTTTCCCTCAGTTTTCCACTTTCCACCTATCCCAGATCAGCGGCACACAGTGTTCACGAGCCCTCTGCGGCTACAGTTACGGCCTGACTCTGCCGAAACGCACACGTGATCGGCGGATAAAAACAGAACCAGATGGTGTTTGAGTTAACCTGAAGGAAACATATAGACATGGGAGTGGAACAATAGCATGTCCACTTAGAGACACACAGCTGCCTGACTTTAACGTCAGCGTTTTATTCTTGGAGACGACATTTTCCAGTTTGCTGTTTAAAATCCTGGCACAATAATTTAGGTTGTGTAAATCACTTAAGTAGAGCAGAGTCATTAAAGGTTGTAATGTCACATATCTAAAAATAGAGCCACAGCAGCGTATTAACCTTCCTCTTATTAGGATCACACTAAAACCCAAATACAGAACAACCCATGTGTAGCAAGAGTAAAAAATACATTAATATGCTTTTTTTTTCTCAGTCAAACTGTGACATATCAGGGATGTGATTAGCTCAAGATAAATATGCCTGCAAAATAGTCTAATCAATGGGTCTAAAGACGATAAAAGTAGGTCAGAATATATGTTTCTGTCGAGACTGAACAATAACACAGTCGCTCAGTGCATGCTCACACATGCAGAGTGCAGTCAGATGAAAGTAAAGCGGTGGAGCGTGTTTCTGCAGCTAACTGTCGCTGCATAAACATGTTTACAAGTCATGAGAGGGAGGAATAAGACTTTAACAGGTGGGGTAAAGGACAAAAAGACAGTAGAAAGCAAGGGCAAAGTGGAAAAAGACAAAACACATTTAAAATGAAAGAGCAGAGACATTCATATAATAGGTCATGAAAAGCTTTTGTCTTTTGACTGTGTGCCTTTGATACTCTGCTAACCGGCAAACCCAATCAGTTCTCATTATGTAAATGCATGTTTCGCACTTTGACTGAGGGGAAAATGCAAAAACAATCCTCTCCAAACCATTACAGCAGATGAAACTGACAGGAAAGTGATTAATGTGGATCATGTTTACACACAAGGCTGCAAACTATCAAGTGAGTTTATTACATATGAGAATAAATTCCAACAGTGTGCTCAGAAACATCCCACAGCACGCTGTGTACACGACATTAAGGTTTTATTTCTGCTGTTCCTAGAAGTCTGCTCCTACTGTAATTCCATGAAGATCAACAACAACAGCTGGGGAATGTTTCAGAGCACAAGCACAGGCAGGTCCGACTGCTAGCTCATATCATCTCTGCTTTAGTATACATTAGTATGTTACAATCTAATATAATCTACCATCAACAGCCATCTGGTCTTAATTCAGATCTTTTACGTAGAAACAAAACAGCAGCAACATGAACAACAACCTGACATTTTAGAATTAGAGCAACAAGCTATTTTTATAACAGAGAGAAAACCAATGCTGCTCCATGTCTTCTTCTTTGTTTAACTGGAAATCCTTGGAAGCCCAAATCAGCTGAGTAGTTCTTGTATTGGTCACCGTGATCTTGTGAGGCTCTGATTAGATGTCTCAGTGAATGTTTATCAGATGTTACTCGAGGAAAAATGGTGTAAACAAAGTAGGAGGTGAAAGGATAAGAAGTTTAATTAGATCAGTGGAGAGCTGAGTGGATATCTCCAGTGATCAACAGATCAATCAATCAGCCTGACTCGTGAAACTGATTATATTATCTCAGGAAGTCAGGTTTCTATTTGTTTGCTAACGGTTTGCAGAATATATCTTCTGAAGTCCTAATTTTGGATCCTACAAGCATAACTACCATCTACACCAATAAAATGGAATAAAACAGACAAAAATCTGAACTCACAACCCAGTTTGGGTTCTTTGTGGGGCCACTGAGGGGAACCCACTAGTGTGGTCACATGTGGGTCCAATCTCTTGTGGCACTAGTGGGTGAACCCAAAAGGGTGGGCACAAAGAGTCTATTATCGCTGGTGCAGTGGGCCCACTGAAGGACCTCTTTAGCTCTACAGCTACTTTACAGGTGGCACGTTGGTCCACAGAGGGCCCGCTTTGGCTTCTAAGCTTATTTCACAGTAGCATGGGGACCTGGTTTTGCTCTACAGCTTATATACAGGTGGCAGAACTGAGTGCTTTGGACCGCCTTGGCTTATTTGCAGGCGATATGTAGGCCATCAGCTCATTTACAGGTGGTATATGGGGCAGCAGAGGGCCCCACAAGTTATTTTACAGGTGGCATGTGAGCCCACTTTGACTTCACAGCTTATTTCCAGGTGGCACAAGGGCACGTAGAGAGCATAGTTTGGCCCCATAGTTTATCTACCAAAGTGGGCCTAGAGAATCCCAAGTCAAATAATATTTATTCTTCACAAAATCAATGATCGACACGGAAGACTGAAACACGATTCAACATAATATAGGCCTAAACATATCATAAACGCATTGTAATAGTTCTTAAAAAGCAACGAAACAGGAAGTGTAAGGCACTGTGAGGCTGTTGGGGTCGAGCTGGGTCAACACAGCAAAAAAGCTCTGCTTGTATCTGTCAAATATTTATTTAAATATTCTAAAGAAGAAATATAACATGTTGACTGTAACTAGCATTTCTGATAATTATTTTTGAACATTTAGCAAATATCATATAAGGAGACTGAATGTTGTGATCCAGAAGTAAAAGTTGGCATGTTGTTTTTGAGCATGTAGGGGGTTAGAAATTGTTTATTTGTTTATTTGTTCAGTTTTTCTGGGAACACACAGAGAGAGAGAGAGGGAGCAGTGAGAGAGGGAACTGACAGGTTCCTCCCTTCATGGGCGGAGAAACCGGAGCCACTACAAATACCGAGAGGGTCCGTGTGGGATTAGACACAAGAGGATAAACGAGCGAGGACGATACGGCGAACCTGGACAGACGTACAAACAGGTAAAACTGGATTTATTCACACACTTTCCAGTCACGGAACCAGTTCAGAGGAGTTTATTTTACGTTGTTCAGTGAATTAAACTCAATTCTGAACTCACGAGCGTAAAGCAGCCTCGTGTTTGAAAGCGGTGACGTAGGATGGGCTGGATTTCATCATCCTCTCACAACACGAATTACACGATAAAAGTGTTTTTTTTATTGTTTTTTATTCGTGTCAAGTCAAGTTCTTAGCTTTGTTTACTTCGATTCGGTGGTTCCTATTATTTTATTTATAACATTTCCGTTTTAAGAGTTTCATGTGACGATACCAGAACGAACCGGTTGCACGTCCGGTAGATTAATTAATAAAACACATTAGAGTATGTGTCAAGTATTGTACGTAAACTTGATTTAAAAAGATATACACGAAGCATTGTTAAATATTATAAAATAGTACAATTTTTAGTCTTCGTCAGTCTTATCGTAATGTTTTTTTAATTGTCATTTCGTCATTAATTGCTGTATTATACTTTTATTGTGAAGGTTACACGCATTGTTTCCGTTGTTTGAAGCCGGTAATAAAAGCCGGTATTTCATCAGCCAACTGTTGAATTTGGCGGAAAAACTGCTTTTTTTCATAAGTTGTTTGATTATTTTGTTTCTGGTTAAAGAAATCACTATTATTATCATATTCTACGTTACGTTAAATTTTCAAGCTAGCGAGCAGCTAATAGCTAACCTCAATTCAGAACCGCTTAATTTCAGTTGTAGGAGTTGGCTAGCTAGTGTAAGCTGTCATGTGCTGACGTGGAGGTATGTAGCATAATGATGGGTTAAAAAACTTTCTAGGAATCGAAGGAGCCCCATTTGGAAGTTCTTTTATTAGTTTACAGTGAAACATTCCTTGGTTTGTGCCTTGTAGAAAGACAAGGTCAACTTGACAATTCATGCTTCCTGCTGTTCTCCCTCCTCTCAGATTAAACCATGAGTAAAGACACGGAGATCGACATGAAGGAAGTGGAGCTCAATGAGATGGACCCCGAGAAGCAGCCCATGACAGGCGACGGCCAGGCAGCAGGCGGGGAGAAAAATGGCAGCGTGAAGCTGAAGGTTCCTGAGGACGAGGTCACATTCACCGGCCTGTCCAAGGAGGAGCTGATGAAGGTTGCTGGCACTCCAGGGTATGAGCTCATGAGAAAGAGTCGCTGCCTCGTATTGGTGTGTGTTTGGTGTAGAATCTGTTTTAATTCTAACATTCCCCCCACCGGCACTCTGTTTTTCCAGATGGGTGCGAACCCGTTGGGTGCTCCTGGTCCTGTTTTGGCTCGGCTGGGTCGGCATGCTGGCCGGAGCTGTTGTGATCATCGTCAAGGCCCCTCGCTGCAAACCCATCCCTGAAATGAGCTGGTGGAACGAAGGACCTCTGTACCAGATCTCTGACGTTGAAGCTTTCTCTGCAAACCTGGAAGGTAGAGTATTCTGTGGTTTTTAGCTTAAATATGTATCTATGCTCAATGCATTTTAAACTTTTTAGGTTGAAGTTTTTTGACATTTCTCGCTGATGTTGGCATGTCCTGTTTTGCTTACAGCATCATTCATGTTCCCAAAATAACACTTTGAGATCACATTGTAAAGCCTTAGTGTGGTAACCCACTCTGATTCACGCTGGAGAAGTCTTGTGACAGTGGCTTAGGCTTCCTTAGTTCTGCGTCGCCTTAGATACCAAACTGCTGACGAGGCAGAGCGACTGAAGGTCTAAAGGACGCCAAAAACCAACAAGTCATTTCTTTCATATCTCTTCTTTTCAGAGGTTAAGTTGAGCAACCTTGTAGACTGTATTGTCAGCTTTTTCCCCCCCCCGAGACTTTTCACACATTAAGAACAAAGTCATTTATTTTCTTTCAGCCTTTTATTTTCATTATGTGGAACTTAAAAAGGCCGTCAGCTTTTGAGAGCCAGGAAGGACAGATTGTATTGCTGTTCTTAAAGAGCGTTAATGGGGATCTCTCGGGTTTCCAGGAGGCTTTGGGTGGAATTCCAAAAACAGCACGTGACTAGTTCATATTGTTCCTGCATGAAGGCCCTCGTTGTGCTCAGGCTTCACATGGCCGGCAGACACTGTGGATGGTTTCATTCACATGCTCATGCTTTGAGTCAATATCTAGCTGAAATGGCAGCACTATTCATCCATACACATCCTCATGTTGCACTTAGCTTTCTCCTAAACTATCAAAGCATGTGTCCAGCCTCCTGCCCCCTCTCCCCGACCCTCTGACCCTGCTACTTTTCACACATCAGCTCTCTGTTGTCTTTGTGAAATTCACACTTGACTCAGCATTTCATTTTCCTTCCCTGTCTGTTTCTTTTGCCAGGTCTTGAAGGAAAGTTGGATGACTTGAACCAGCTAAAGGTGAAAGGCCTGGTTCTCGGCCCTATTCACACCGTCCAGGGGAACCAGTCGTCCACTCTTGATCTTCAAAAGATCGACTCGCCCCTGGGAACGGAAAAGGACCTGACTGCTGTGCTTCAGAAGGCCCAGAAGAAGGGTAGGTCATTTTATAACTAAGATCAATTGCATGAGTTTAAAAGCTCAGACTTCAATGAATCACCAGATTCATGCACAATTACATTTGCTAGATTTTTTTTTAGAAGTTTGGACTGTTCAAGACCAAATAGAACATTTGTGTCCTGTTTCTTTCAGGCATCTCTGTGGTGCTAGACCTGACTCCAGACTACATGGGATCTAATCCCTGGTTCACTGACGGTGCTGACGATATAATGGAGAAGATCAAGGTAGGACACACAGACGCATTGTGTTTTTGATTTTGTTTTAGGTCATATGTTATAGTACCCATTAAAAAAACAAAACCAACCACATATATTGTGGTCCTTCTTGTACATGTGCTGGTGTCACTGCTGCTGCAGCTGAAGTGCTCGTGTTCTTTTCCAGGCTGCAGCTGAGTACTGGCTGAATTTGGGAGTTGATGGCATCAAGCTATCTGACCTCACTTTTGCCACCAACTCTGCCGACTGGGCAAAACTGCGTGCCGCTGTCCAGGGCAACCGCACTGACGACGACGCAAAGAAGAGGTAAACGTGGCGGCTTTTTTTTTTTTTTTTCTAGCTTCCTTTGCTTGAGCACAAGTCGAAAGTTTGTTCAGGAACATAGAATATTTAATTTTGGAAGATATTTGAATACATTTAGCTTGTGCCAGCAGATATGAGAGAAGTTATTTTGAACAAAAAAAAAAACCCAAAACCTAAAATTACTTATGTCTGAATGTGAAGCTTCAAAACTACTGGACGCCTCCTCAGAATTGAGACACTAGTTGAAAAGATTGTTGGGCTGTTTTGTCTTCGGAAAGCAATTTTCCAAGCATGAGTAAAATGTCATCTGACAAGGTCCTGTTTCCTGAGAAACGGCAAACCATTTGCCCCAGGCCAGGGCTGTGTTACAGTGACACCTTGTGGGGGATTTGAGAAACGACACACAAATTTCTTTTTAAAACTAATTCAAACATTCAAGAGGTGGATGTCAAGATGCTGAGTTACAAGTTCCTTTATACTTACTGCTCATTTCTAAACTCTTACCTGCGTCCCTGTTCTGTTGTGGTGATGACCTGACCTCATTCTGTTTCTCTCAGGGCACTGATGGGTGTGGTTGAAGGCCTGTCAGCACCGGAGATGTCTCTGCTGGTTAATACCTCTGGTGTAGATCTCGTCCTGTCTGATCTGCTGAGCAAAAACCGTGGGGGTAAGCTGGATTGATCCATTTCTCTTTCTATGGTCGCATGTGTTTTAAGTGTTTATCTTCTCCAAATAAAAAAAAAAAACAAAAGTATTCTTGTTGAACTTAGTTTGTATTTCGTCACCTATTTAGTGCCTTATAATTCTAGCACCCCTCTTCCTGTGTAGCAATGAGGCTGATGTTGACTTGACCAATGACTTAAAGACTAAAAGGTGCATTTCAGGTGATAATTCTACCTGAATATCTGCAGGTGTGGAGCGCATCAAGGACATGGATACCCTGAACTCTCAGCAGATGAGTGTGGGCTGGGGTCTCGGTGCTGCACAAAAAGACCATCTGTCTGAAGTGGCAACAAAGGACCTAATTCGTCTTTACCAGCTTTTGCTGTTCACCATGCCTGGAACCCCAGTGTTTACCTACGGAGATGAAATTGGTCTTGATGCAAAGGAGGTGAGCTACAAAAAGGCTCAAATGTTTTTCAACATTCGTTCATCAGTTGTGGAGTCTAACCTTTGTCTTCTTTTGTCTGGGTGCTCCTCAGATGGTTTGGGACGTAGAGAAGGAACCTTCAAAAGATGCCCCCGCAGATGACGCCGCTGAGGTAAAGAGCACGGTGGAACAGGAGTACTTGAGCACTCGCTTGTTTGCTTTCGGTGCGATTTTTAAAGATTTCCTTAAACGTCACATTTACAGGCTCTGCGTACGGAGCGTGTTACTATCAGGAAGTGGTTCAAATCCCTCAGCGACCTGCGAGGCAAAGAGCGCTCCCTCCTCCACGGCGACTACTACCCCCTCCACTCGTCGTCCTCCTCGCTCTCCTTCCTCCGTCTGTGGGATCAGAGCGAGAGATACATCACAGCGGTGAACTGGGGATCTCAGCCTGAGACGCTCTCGCTCAAACTGCCACCTACAGGCAAGTTGCAGATCAACAGAAACATCTAATGCGTTTCCCTTTGTGTCCGTTTTTTTTTTTTTATTAACATTGTCAACTTTGTGCCTGCAGAAGGAGTACAGCTACCGGAGTCGGCTAAGGTGAAGCAGTCGACCGACCCTGATCAGGCGGCAGATTCCACCGTCAGCCTGGACAAAGTCACTCTGAAACCTGGACAAGCTGTCCTCCTGCAGTTCCCCTACACCGGCTAGAGGTGGCGCCAAACCACAGGGGAGCGACACATGAGATTTCTGTTTTTAAAAAGATACTAAAGCCTAATCCGTAGGAAAGAGATGCTGCATTGACAAGATACAGGATATTTCTTTTAATAGAACGTTCCATCAGTTTACTTGGACAGAGCTGAAATTAATTGGGTCAAAGAAAACGTAGCCATACAAATACGAAATAAAGGCCAGTATGAAGTCATTTGGATACCTTTAGTTTATTTTTTACTGTACGTTTACAAGATGCAGCCGCCACAGATGTGCACTCCTCCATTGAGCGTTTTGTTCTTTTGTGATCTTTTATTGTTTCAAATGTGTGAAAAACATTCCAATCCTGTTCTTTGGGGCATTTCTGTAGAAGAGTTTTAAGATGTTCTGTTTTAGTGACGGTTTGACTTTATTTTGTGGGCTTTCTCAGTTTTTTTTTTTTGTTTTTTTTTTAAACTACAAGTCACGATCAACTCTGGAAACGTGTGGCGACTCAAGTTTGTCAAGTGAACTGATTTTGGAAATGAATAAACAGAAAGCTCGGCACTGACTCCCGTCTGCTCGTCATGTTTTGCGACTATTTTAAAACCAGTCGGCGTCGTGTGTGTGTTTTTTTTTTTTTTTTACGCCGAAGATGATATCGGATAAGACGTCGGCTGTTTTCGCCGTGTACAGGTGTGTGAAAGTGTGTCACAGATGTCAACAGAGGAAGCACGTCTGTATTTTATCATCTTCCTGAGATAACTCTGATAGGCACTTTATACTATAAAAACGTACGTTGTGCTTGTAAATATGAGTTTCACGAAATGGATCATACACCTGTTGAGAAAATGTGTCACTTTTTAGATGCTGGTTAACAAATTACATAAAAACAATTGAGTCTCTTGAACTATTCCCTTAAATTTAGCACTTTTTGTGAGTGACTTTAACTTTCTGATCGATGGATGAGCAGTTAGAAAGACACTAAAGCCTCCTATCTGTATGTGCTGCACTTCCAGTTGCTTTTAATAGATGTGTAGCTCCACAGGACTGACTTCACTCAGATACTGTTTAGCAAAATGGTGTTCTTTTCTTTAAATGTGCCAATTTTTACTTAAATTATTTCTCTTTAGAGGACAAATGATGGCTGAAGTTCAGATACACTCGTTTTATTTAAACTTAAAAAGTTGACAGAACCAAATAATAAAACAGTAGTCGCTTAAAAAAACAGCTGATTATGTGCTTTGTTTAAATTATGATGAGTTTAATTAGAAAGAGACAAAAGGAGAACACAGTATTGGAGGCACTGCATCTCCATCACTGTGGTTTTGCTCTTTGCATTGACTGACAGTCATTGTTGGAGCTGATTTTACTTGAGAAAAACGCTGGATAACGATGTAAGTGTTCCTTTAGAGCTACTGTACGTGAACTAGAACTGAATCTGTGGGCAAATCATCACAGGACGCGGCCCGACGCTACGCAAGAAAGAGTAGCGTTTGCTCAAATACTGGTAAGTGTGAGTTTTTAATTAAACAACGGGATGTAGTTAGTGCCGCTACTATAATTACTATGAAGGTAGTTACATTTTCAATGCAGGGCTGTTTAAAAATTAATTTTTAAGTATTATTAGCAACATGTACTGAAAGTGTGAAAATGGAAAGTACTCAATACGATTATGTTTTATATGACGATGTTAATATGAACACCTTAAAATGTAAATAAACATTTTAGTGTAGTTAAGGTGCTGCTGAATTTAACTGCTGTGTCCTGTGCTGCTATACGACCATGTTTAACCCTTCAACCTCCTGTTACCTTCAAGTTTACTGACGTCTTTTATCCTTGGGTTCTTTTTGACTCCAGCAATTTAAACCTCCAGAAAATATCATAATTAAAATTGTTACCCAGGTTTATGTGTAAGTAGCCCTTTAAATCAATGACTTTTTTAGAGATGTTAAACACTGAATGGGGTCAAATTGACCCCAAAGATAACAGGAGGGTGTGTTTTATAAGCCTGCTTTGTATGTGACATGGTCGAGACACACAGTGATGTAAAAGGTGTTTTATTCTCCTGAAATGCAGTCGAATAAAAGTATAAAGTAGCAGCAATTTATCACCTCAAACTAGTGTTGAAGTACAGTGATTAAATAACTGTACTCAGTGATATTACTCCACAAATTCATGCTTATATTCGAGCAAAAATGTCAGATTTTATAGTTGTACCTGAGTTTTTTTCCATTGTGGTGTTCTATTAGTACATTAACTTAACAATACTTGGACTTTAGACGTAGTGGCGACCCACCCACAACACAAAAACGTCTTTTCAATCCTGTTTAAATGCTCTTTAATTTGATGTTTGAGTCTTTTTTTCAGCCTGACTTTTACTAATTTCTAAAACTCTTCATGATGAAGACATAATGTCATACTGTGTGGTTATGATCTGATGCTTCTGAAGATGTTTTACTTCACAATTTTGATGCTTAATCTTTAAATCTTTCTTTGTGCGATGGGGCCGGGAACAAAACACACAAATCCATGAACTGAAAAACGATGCAGCTACCTACACCGGCAATCGAGCTTTACGTTTCTGAGTGTAAAAAATGCCATTTCTCATTCAAAAGCACCGGTTTGAACCTGCTCCTTTGATAAAAATGTCACGCAGTTCCTCTAACAGGTGAAACTGGGCTTCACTTAACTCAGCAGAGTTTCGGGGTCTTGATACAATACAGGGCCGCCGTGTTGCTGTGGTATCACAGGGGAGGTTTGAAGCTGATGATACCGGGAATCAGAGCCCGTCTCGCCACCTCTGCGTTCACCCCACGCCGCTGTGAAACCAAACCACCGCCGTGCACACTCATGACTGACTCTCAGTCTGAGTCTGACACATGCGCCTTTTTCAGCGCCGTGACATGAAGCTGCATGACCTTTCATCGGCTTTCATGGAACACTGCAGAGACAGGGGCACTGAAACACAGCAGTGTAACGTGCCCTGATTTGTCGCTTTACGGCGGAAAGCCCTCTGCCCCGAAAACCAAGAGACGGTGAAATATTCTGTATTCTGACGGCAATCGTGAAGCGAGTGCTTCCGCTCAACATGCAGACCTTAGCTCAGCAATTTCACATACCACTGCTCTTTACATACATTAAAAGACAATTCTTATTGCTGATATGTTGGTAAGCTTCATCACCAAATACATCTATATCCATCTGATTGAATACTGCAAACTCCATTTATACTGAATCAATATTAAAAATTTGCCCCAGTGTCACTGTATGTTCACCTAAACTCTGCTTCACACGCTTTTGGAAAAAGTGCCACTTTTCTGGCACATTTTGAGGTTCTGTGCTTTGCTCAAGAGCGTTTCAAGCTGAGACGAGAGCGATGCCTTATTTCTGAACCTCGATTATTGAATATTGCCTCAGAATGTAAGTGAACTGTCGCTCCTGTTTAGTGTTATCAGAAGAGCTCTGGGGTTCACGCTCTACTTATATTCTTATAAAAGCAATTATAATTCTGCTATACCGAGAAAAATAAAGGTGCAAACTGGACATAACATAGAAAAATCCATTTCATTTCCTCAAGCAGCCTTATAGCACAGGATCTTTAATAAGTGTTTTCATAACAGAACCCCTAAATGTTTCTTTCGGCACTTAAATTATTTTGTGTTTATTGAAAAACTAGCATATGAACATAGTTTTTGACTGTTTATTAATGTTCCTTTTTAATTCAATCAATTACACACAAGAAACGTATCAGAAATGTCAGCTTCAGAGCAACACAAAGTAAATCCAGTGGACACACACACAAAATCAGTGGCTAGAAACTGGAATACACACCCCAAAACCTTGAAATAACACATCGATCCATATTAAAAATCAACAAGAACGCATTTGGCATCCACATTGATTTTAAGAACATTTAGGTATGAAGAGTAAATATAATAATATGACCAAACAACATTTAACAAGATGACAAAATGAAAAAAAAAAAAATCATCCATAAAAAATTCTTAAGTCAATGTACGTATTTGCTTCTTTTTTTTTTTGCAGGAAATTATATGAAGAGGTTAATATCACTCCTATATTTTTAGAATAAACTTGAAGCCACAGAGCAGTTGTGTAACGGAGAGAAACTGTCTCTGCCCAGTTAAGAAAGTTAACTGACTATATGTTCCCTCAAGAACTTTTCCAAGCCGACTCCTATCAGCTTTCTGTCCTTTCTTTCATTTTCCTAAACCGTCTTAATTTTCCTCTGTGAATCTAAATTAATCCAAATTACTCTTCTCTAGCATGTAACCACAGAACCTAAACTTAAGGCATGTTAACTTAAAGAAGTCAAAAAATGTGATTTTTATTTGGAAATGGTTCAGAAATTAAAACTTTTACTTTCATGTCTGGTGATAAATGAGAAGCTTAGCATGACAAAGGTACACAGCTGGTTTAGTGATTAGACTGAGAGCAGCTAGCTCAGCTTCACCCAAAGCTAACAAAATTAGCCTCACGTCACCGCAAACGCCTCCTTAATTCAGCTAACCTCGTCTCTATTGTGTAGCCTTAGAGCCTAAATTTAAGGTATGTATAACTTAGAATGGTTCAAAAGTTAAAACGCTTTGAAAATGTAAGATTTTTTTCCCCTTCATGTCTGGTGATAAATGAGAACCTTAGCACGACAAACCTAAGCAGCTAGCTCAGTAGTAAGACTGGGAACAGCTACACCGGCTTCGTCTAAAGCTAACAAAATTAGCCTAGCATCACCTCAAACGCCTCGTTAATTAAGCTAATCTCCTCTCTAATGTGTGGCCTGAGAGCCTAAATTTAAGGTATGTACAACTTAAAATGGTTCAAAAGTTAAAACTTTTGAAGGATTTAGGAGTATTTGTGTTCTTGGATATGATAAATAAGAACCGTATCATGAGAAAGTCACATAGTTAGCTTAGCAACTGGCGAGACCGACTTTGTCCAAATCACTTGCTAATTAAAATATTGCATCTTGTTGGTTTAGCTAACGCCCTCTCTATCGTGCTGTCTCAGAGCCTAAACTTAAGATATGCCAACTTAAATAAGCCTATAAATATACATGTATACAAAATGGGAATTGAATGGAAATTCCTAGTCCAGCAAGAAGACTGGAAACAACTGGACTGACTTTGTTAAGGTTGGTAATAAAAATTAGCCTTAGCACCCGTTGTCTACTGTGTGGCCTCAGAGCCTGGTATGTTCACCTTAACATGGCTCAAAAGGTAAGACTTTTTAAAAATTTAAGAATATTTGCTTTCTTGTTGAGTGATAAATGACAGGCCTATCATGAAAAACGAATTAGTTTAGCAATAAGAACAGAAACAGCTAGACTAACTTTATCCAAATGTTAGCTTAGCAGTACTTTAGCCACTCGCTAATACAAATATTATATCTTTAGGTTTAGCTAACCCCTTTCTCTCTTGTGTAAACTTAAGGTGTGTTAATGTTCATGTTAAAAACGTATACTTCTCAGGGAATGGGTCAAAAGTTAACACACGACATCACTTTGTCCAAAGGTAACACAAATTAGCCTAGCAGCACCTTGAACAACCGCTA